GTACTACTTCAATAACAATAACAATAATAATGCGAAAACGCCCATAGCATTCAGAGCACACATTTTGTGAATTTAACTTAACTGTGCCGATAGTCAGGGATTTGAAACCCACTGTCAACTGACACAGACAAGGGACACAACTCCGCACAGCATGTCAGCCCAAAGTGTATAGCAAACTACATCTGTAATTTGAAATTTGTCCTGTGTGGTCGGCATGTTATTTCCGTGTGTTAGTGAGTGTCTGTTTTATATACTGCACACTCAGCAAAATTCCATGATACATTGGCCAGTAAATAATCAATTCTTAGAGGTATTAATTGAGGTATTAAAGACAATGGATTGAGGATATCAGATGGAACACCACGGACGAAGACACTGAAACCCATTTAATCCAGGCAGCACTCATCTTCCTAAGGCAAGGGCATTAACTGACTATAAAAGTCCATTTTCCACACTTGCCGAACTAGGCAGCAATTATGGAGTTATATTTTGGCTGGACTATCAAGTCTAGTCCAATCAAAATTGTGTAACAAAATCAACATCGAGTTCGTAAACTGTCGTGCAGCTTTTGGTCGACTGCAGGATTTGCAAGGCATGTGTACCGTCAACTTCTAGTCAATGGATATTTTCCATTTTTTTTCACGTTTTTAATCAAGGTGTTCAAGTGATTTGATGCACTTCGTGAAGTAAGGCTCGTTTTATTACAATAGAAATCTTGATTATATTGATCGGATCGCCATCACTGGGCGACGCCATTTTGTTTGAAACAAATGCAAGTGATATCAGAGGTGGAATCTGATAGGTTAATAGGAGGGACATAACTCGTAATAGCCACTGGTGGCACTGGGATCAAACTCAGAAAATCCAGCCTAGTTCGGCAAGGGTGGAAACTGGACTTTCATAGTCAGTTAACTCCCTGGTCTCGGGAAGATGGGCAGCGCTGTCCCCAGAGGGGTGTGGTGAAATGGGGTTTAACGTCACGGCCAAGATTATTTCATTTATATAGTGATGTGCATGCGTGTGTGTGTGTGTGTCTGCTTGTACTAGTCCGGACTGATGCCGATTTATGGTGCTAGCTCACTGAGACACCATGCAGCAATTTAACATGAATACCCCACTCAGTATACTGACTGCGAGATGACCAGTCCTTGTTTTAGCACCTCAATGCCAAGAGCCTGGCAGGGTAACAAGTACTATCTTTTAACGTCATTTGGTAAATCACACTAAGTGATATAGTTCCTGTTCTTGCAGCAATAAGCCCTCTGGGCACTTAGAAAGTGGACAGAGTGGGATGCCTTAAACATCCATACTCAAGCCAAATTTGGTTTCAGAGGTCGAGGGAAATCACCAAACTTCAAACATCAGTGAAACTATTACACTATTTGTTGCAAGTCAGTTATATACCCCCTGCTGTTTTCTGTAAAAAGTATGTAAAATACACAAGAAAATAAAGATGGCCACATAAATTTTCGGCCTTTGTAGCTAAAATAAAGATTACGTATTCAAGGGGAAGTTTCACATCCACATATTAACAACAGATTGGTCTATAAGTTGGTCTGGGGTGCTTATTGGTGCAGGGCGCTTATTACGGCAAATATGATATACACCATATTTATTCTATTGATAGTGAATTCATTTCACCTAATTGCAAATCACCTCATAATGTGAACTAGTGTTGAAATGGTTTATTTTTATATAGACAAATGAAACCTTTTGGACTGACTAGAAACAACTTGAGCAACGAGTCCACTAGACATGAATAGAAAAATTACATCTAAAATAATTATCAAAATTAACTGCATCAAAAATACATTCATTTATCAAAGTGTGAAGAGTGCCCCAAGCTAAGGATGAACATTTGTTGACAAATAATGGACAAACTAAACAATCTTTATGCAAACATCAAAGTGCTATCAACAGGTATTGTGCCCTTGAAAAGAACTGACTTGACAAACACCTCTCTTTTAAGCAGAAACATCCCAATGCTCAGAAGTAACTAAGACTCAGCGTCTTAGACAATCCAGGTATTATATCTCCTCTCTATCAGGATTTATAAACCTCCAGTGACGTCATCCTATTGTTCTCGAGTCGGGTTAAATCTCATAAAAAGGGATGGTACAATATCCCGGGGATTTTATTAATACAACTTCCGTTACATTGTAACATATGAATGTTTCTCTTAGAATTTTATTTTGCATTTGAACAGAACGTGATGAAATGTAAAATCCAATGACAAATGTTTTCTTTATATTCCCGAGGATCAAACACACAGCCTTCGTATCTGTAGCCCAGTGAGTGTACCACTAGGCTACAGATGCGTTTTTCAAGTACCGTACGCCAGCAACAGATATTCTACGACTGATTCCTAAGGTTCATGGAAAGTATGTTTGAAACATAAAAATGTTGATAAAAGTTGGTTTAAGTTGCTTTTCTTGGTTTCTACGTTAGATAAAACAAGCCCTTCGGTTTTATCACTTGGATTCAGGTAATACATCTAAAAATCCTTTGACTTCACATCTATCCTGGACCCCCTGGCTACCAAACTGTCATGTTAGATGGGAGGAGTTTCCATATGTGTTACCAGCTGTTCAGCAACGTCTGCAAGGGTGTCCACGAGCCTACATCAAAGTCTATATGCAGTGGACACTTGTCTCAGGAAGATGGATTAACACAGTATTTTTCATGATTTTGATTGGATGCCTTTAACCTCAATTCTACTCAAAAGAAAGCCATGGGGAGGAATGAAGTCAATGGGAGAAGGTTTTATCACATTGGGGAATAATTTTCCACAGTGGTGGGAAAAACTAAGATACAAAGACTTTTTATTATTTCACGTTGGAATAAAAATTCATAACCGGCAGATGGAAAACATAGAAAAGCATATGGATAGCCTTATAATTTAAAGTGTTATCGATGCGATAAACCAATCCCAAAACTTGGCATCATGATCCGATAAATATGCAAGGAACTACTTGGAGTTAGTGAGTGAGTTGGGTCAGAGACCATATACCGATATATCAGTATATGGTCTCTGGTTGGGTTTAACGCCGCTTTTAACAGTATTCCAGTTATATCGCGGCGTGTCAGCTTAATGTGGGAGGAAAGCCCAAGTGATGCAGGTCTCAGACGTTTACCACTACCCAGCACGGGTATGTTGCTGACAAACCTAGAAACATAATCGGGGCAAACCGGGATAAGAACCCACGATCATTGGTTTCTCGTGTGCCCAAGGAACGCAACTTTGCACAGCAAATCACGGCACCTTAGACGACTGGGCCACCCGTGCCCCCTAAAGTACTTAGTTCCCTCCATTGATGCAATGTCTGCTTGGTCATTTTAAACATAAAACTCATGTTACCAACAAGTTTAGGTACCAGTTTCCCGACGTGTGGGTCAGTGTTCCCGACGTGTGGGTCAGTGTTCCCGACGTGTGAGTCAGTGTTCCCGCTGACTTTTGAAAATGCCAGTCCCAGTGGAATGGCAACGCTAAACTTACCAGCCCCTCCCCAATTTTTGTCAGTCCCAACTTTGAACAAAAAACCCAAAAACATATGAAAATTACCTGGTTTTACTTCTGTCAACATCATGTTCAATGTAGTCTGTCTTACAGTCCCTGATACAAATATATATCAAATAGAGCCCATACAAGTCTATAATGTTTGGCAAGGCTAGATCACTGCAGTATCTGAAAATGAAGAGAGTCACTGGGCTCCTTTTTATTATATTTTTATTAAGATAACTGAACAACTGTTTTTTTATGTACGATATGTTCATTTCAGAGACTAGATGTTAGTCTATATAAACATGAAAATGACCTGGTTTTAATTCTGTCAACATCATGTTCAATGCAGTGTATGTTGATGGCTGACATCTTGAATGATGTCATCCCTGAGGTAATTTAGTCAGATCTACACATCATTGACACAAAGTTCAGTCACAAGGTTCTCTTTTCCCCCCGGAATATTTCACTTTGGTTTAAGACCAAGTCTCTGCAAAATGGATATTTATTTAAACCTTGAAGAAAAACGAAATGCTATTTCCTTGCACTAAACAGACAACAGGCTTTTATTCAACAGTCCACAGGGACTGGCATTCACATGAATTAATGGTACAAGCCAAATATTACCGGTAAAAAACTGGTAATTATCGGTCAATGGGAACACTGGTCGGTGATCATGTAGACAAGAAACCCTGCAAATCACGTGGCCTATATGTCAAATAGGGCGATTCACTCAAACATTGTATTCATACACAGTTTTGAAAGTAGAGCGTGACATCACATATCTTAAACATCAATTATATTTAGAAATCATGTATCATGTTCACCACAGACTTGCATAATACAATTGTATTCCTAATACCTGATATTTATGGTACGGAAACCCATAGCTTATATTATCTATTCATAGAATAGGGATATAACAGAACAGAGATATAATACCCTGCATAAATGAGGATGAGTCATCAAAAGAGCATCAATTTTCCAACAAATTAAAGACCTAATTGTGATTGATCCCATATAAAGTGGAGTGTTTATCAAATGCTTCTACCCAAACTAAGATTGTCTGTTGCAATACTGGTGATAGTTACTGGTGAGAGTTACAAGTGTTAGTTACAAATATTGCATACGGGTAAACAAATGCCCTGGTTTTACATTGGAAGTGAAAATGCTCCGTATGTGTTATGTAATCTCCGTATGTAGGTACATGCATTTGAACTTGAATTATGTATGCTGCTATACACACAGATCATGACGTCATGATATACAGATTATACCACACGATACCATGCATATGTATACTTATGTAATCATATACCACACATCCTGTACAACACTGACATTGTATCCTGTCTATATACCTATATACATTACATGACATGGACTATACACATATATCACATGTACGATATCAGATGCTATACACAAATAACATTGGAGGCCTGACTTGTCATATTTCTTAGGTATTTTGTTTTTGTTTTTGTTTTTGGGTTTTTTTGGGGGGGTGAAATAACCTGGTTTGTTTGTGAAAAAAGACAATAAGGATGTCATTTCAGGTGTATTTATGTCAAGGTCAAGGACAGTTCAAGGGTGGGTCAAGGACAGGTCAAGGGTGGGTTAAGGGCGGGTCAAGGACAGTTTAAGGGTGGGTTAAGGGCGGGTCAAGGACAGGTCAATGGTGGGTTAAGGGCGGGTCAAGGGCAGTTCAAGGGTGGGTTAAGGGCGGGTCAAGGACAGGTCAATGGTGGGTTAAGGGTGGGTCAAGGGCAGGTCAAGGGTTGGTCAAGGGCAGGTCAAGAGTGGGTCAAGGGCAGTTCAAGGGTGGATCAAGGGCAGGTCAAGGGAAGGTCATATTAGGCCCTGATGGTGGCACATATAATTGGTGGACATATGCACACTGCTGGTCACACTATCTGCTGGCCTATCTTACTCCAAGTTATATGTAACAGTTAACTGAAATATCCAACATTTTATTTCATCATTTGGCATTTCTTCTGAAACATATTTTAATAAATGTAAAAAAAATAATCCAAACAATTTTTCTTTCTTTCTGAAGGACCTTTGAAACTTTTACTCCAATAAGCAAGTCTTTCATATATTTGTTTTAATGTTAAAAAGAAACCTGTTTTTCCAATTGTATTTTCATTTCAACCCCAAACCAATGGATGAAAAGAAATCAATATATTCTGAAAACAACATGATCATAATAAAAATACATTATTTGGAAAAATGTATGAATGACAGGTAGAATACATATTTACAAGGAGCGCAAACTGAGTGAGTGAGTGAGTAGAGAGTTTTACACCTCTTGAACAGTATTCCACTTATATCATGGAGTGTCAGCATAATGTGGGAGGAAAGCCTGAAGTGATGCAGGTCTCAGATGTTTACCACTTTGACAAAACCGAGGAACACAGGTATGGTGCAGCAATAAGGATGAAGAGGTACTTGAAGCCCCGATCATAGGTTCCTGGTCTGCCAAGGGAGACAACTCTGCTAAGCAAATTGTGGCACCTTAGACGACTTGAAAACTCATGCTCCATGATCAATGAAGAAAGAGAAACTAAAATCTTTCACACAAATTATTAAGATAAGACATTTACATAGTGAATTATGACAACATGATACAATCACATTGATAATCAGAAAACACATGAACATCGCAAAACTGAGACAGACATGATGAGTTGGACAAGAAAGACTTGATTGAAATGTATATTTATATCACAATGGTACGGTCTGACATCCTGTCATGACATTCATGGAGCAATGGTCAATGGTTCTCTACAATGGGGGTGGGGGTTCGTTGATGGGGCACGTTGATGATGATGTGAATGTCGTCGACACATTGCGCGGACATAGTTGCGCCTCTTGCACTGGCGATACTCATATCATGCACGTCCATGACCTTGGGATCAGGTAGTCGATGAAACTGTCCTGAAACAACAACAAACATAATCAGTTGGTCGTGTTTCTGGGACATCCTATTCAGTATGTTGTTTAACATTGCACTCAGCACTAATCCAGCCATATGATAGCGGCCTGTAAATAATCAAGTCAGGACATGGCAGTCCTGTGATTGATATTATGAGCAATGATCCATGCCATTGGAATACAGTGACAGGAAATCAATCAAATTAATAAGCTTGACCAAACCGTGACCAGTTGTTTGATACATCCATCAAAGGTTGCTTGGGACCTCTTCTAATCCAGAATCCCCACTGAGTTGACAGGACAGTAGACCTGTACTTACTGAGTTTGCAGGACAGTAGACCTGTACTTACTGAGTTGACAGGACAGTAGACCTGTACTTACTGAGTTTGCAGGACAGTAGACCTGTACTTACTGAGTTGACAGGACAGTAGATGTGTACTTACTGAGTTTGCAGGATAGTAGACGTGTACTTACTGAGTTGACAGGACAGTAGATGTGTACTTACTGAGTTTGCAGGATAGTAGACCTGTACTTACTGAGTTTGCAGGACAGTAGACCTGTACTTACTGAGTTGACAGGACAGTAGATGTGTACTTACTGAGTTTGCAGGACAGTAGACCTGTACTTACTGAGTTGACAGGACAGTAGATGTGTACTTACTGAGTTGACAGTACAGTAGACGTGTACTTACTGAGTTGACAGGACAGTAGATGTGTACTTACTGAGTTTGCAGGATAGTAGACCTGTACTTACTGAGTTTGCAGGACAGTAGACCTGTACTTACTGAGTTGACAGGGCAGTAGATGTGTACTTACTGAGTTTGCAGGACAGTAGATGTGTACTTACTGAGTTGACAGGACAGTAGGCAGGACAGTAGACGTGTACTTACTGAGTTGACAGGACAGTAGATGTGTACTTACAGAGTTGACAGGACAGTAGAGACAGTAGATGTGTACTTACTGAGTTGACAGGACAGTAGATGTGTACTTACAGAGTTGACAGGACAGTAGATGTGTACTTACAGAGTTGACAGGACAGTAGATGTGTACTTACTGAGTTGACAGGACAATAGACGTGTACTTACTGAGTTGACAGGACAGTAGATGTGTACTTACTGAGTTGACAGGACAGTAGACGTGTACTTACTGAGTTGACAGTACAGTAGATGTGTACTTACTGAGTTGACAGGACAGTAGATGTGTACTTACTGAGTTGACAGGACAATAGACGTGTACTTACTGAGTTGACAGGACAGTAGATGTGTACTTACTGAGTTGACAGTACAGTAGACGTGTACTTACTGAGTTGACAGGACAGTAGATGTGTACTTACTGAGTTTGCAGGATAGTAGACCTGTACTTACTGAGTTTGCAGGACAGTAGACCTGTACTTACTGAGTTGACAGTACAGTAGACGTGTACTTACTGAGTTTGCAGGACAGTAGACCTGTACTTACTGAGTTGACAGGACAGTAGATGTGTACTTACTGAGTTTGCAGGACAATAGACGTGTACTTACTGAGTAGACAGGACAGTAGATGTGTACTTACTGAGTTGACAGGACAGTAGACGTGTACTTACTGAGTTGACAGTACAATAGACGTGTACTTACTGAGTTGACAGGACAGCAGATATGTACTCACAGAGTTGACAGGACAGTAGATGTGTACTTACTGAGTTGACAGGGCAGTTCCTCCTGGCATACCACTCCATGCTGTACAAACACATAAGTAGACCGTTGCCAATGAACAGCGCCACCCACAGAAACACGTTCCAGCTCCGAGAGGACCCCTTGTCCGTCAGAAAAATAAAACCAACTGCAACAAAGATTGGAAGGTTTCTATTTATGTTGACAAAACCAATGGAATTGGAAAGGATACGATTTGTGAGAATGCTCCATAGTCATCTTTAACTGGGTCCTTAAAGGCCGTACACATCTTTAACTTAAGTATGATGGCTTACCTTCTAGTGAGTCTGTGAACATATTATGTTGCTTTTGTTTTAGCCGCATCAGCAGTATTGCAGCTATTTACGGCTAGTTACCTTCAAGGGTGATGCACTTCTCATCTTTAACTTCATCTTTAAAGGCAGTACAGACATTTTATTCAAGTACAACTGTCATCTTTAACTCAGATTTACTGGTAAGGGTAGTAGACTGTCATCTTTAACTCTGATTTACTGGTAAGGGTAGTAGACTGTCATCTTTAACTCTGATTTACTGGTAAGGGTAGTAGACTTTCATCTTCAACTCAGATTTACTGGTAAGGGTAGTAGACTGTCATCTTTAACTCAGATTTACTGGTAAGGGTAGTAGACTGTCATCTTCAACTCAGATTTACTGGTAAGGGTAGTAGACTGTCATCTTTAACTCAGATTTACTGGTAAGGGTAGTAGGGTCATGTTTAATCTGGTTTACTGGTAAGGGTAGTAGGGTCATGTTTAACTCTGGTTTATTGGTAAGGGTAGTAGGGTCATGTTTAACTCTGGTTTACTGGTAAGGGTAGTAGGGTCATGTTTAACTCTGGTTTACTGGTAAGGGTAGTAGGGTCATGTTTAACTCTGGTTTACTGGTAAGGGTAGTAGGGTCATGTTTAACTCTGGTTTACTGGTAAGGGTAGTAGGGTCATGTTTAATCTGGTTTACTGGTAAGGGTAGTAGGGTCATGTTTAACTCTGGTTTATTGGTAAGGGTAGTAGGGTCATGTTTAACTCTGGTTTACTGGTAAGGGTAGTAGGGTCATGTTTAATCTGGTTTACTGGTAAGGGTAGTAGGGTCATGTTTAACTCTGGTTTATTGGTAAGGGTAGTAGGGTCATGTTTAACTCTGGTTTACTGGTAAGGGTAGTAGGGTCATGTTTAACTCTGGTTTACTGGTAAGGGTAGTAGGGTCATGTTTAACTCTGGTTTACTGGTAAGGGTAGTAGGGTCATGTTTAACTCTGGTTTACTGGTAAGGGTAGTAGGGTCATGTTTAACTCTGGTTTACTGGTAAGGGTAGTAGGGTCATGTTTAACTCTGGTTTACTGGTAAGGGTAGTAGGGTCATGTTTAACTCTGGTTTACTGGTAAGGGTAGTAGGGTCATGTTTAACTCTGGTTTACTGGTAAGGGTAGTAGGGTCATGTTTAACTCTGGTTTACTGGTAAGGGTAGTAGGGTCATGTTTAACTCTGGTTTACTGGTAAGGGTAGTAGGGTCATGTTTAACTCTGGTTTACTGGTAGGGTAGTAGGGTCATGTTTAACTCTGGTTTATTGGTAAGGGTAGTAGGGTCATGTTTAACTCTGGTTTACTGGTAAGGGTAGTAGGGTCATGTTTAACTCTGGTTTACTGGTAAGGGTAGTAGGGTCATGTTTAACTCAGATCTACTGGTAAGGGTAGTAGGGTCATGTTTAACTCTGGTTTACTGGTAAGGGTAGTAGGGTCATGTTTAACTCAGATCTACTGGTAAGGGTAGTAGGGTCATGTTTAACTCTGGTTTACTGGTAAGGGTAGTAGGGTCATGTTTAACTCTGGTTTACTGGTAAGGGTAGTAGGGTCATGTTTAACTCTGGTTTACTGGTAAGGGTAGTAGGGTCATGTTTATGCTGGCAGTAAACAGGTGGAGGTTTCATGGACTACTCACATCCTGCTCCAGCAAACATGACAAAGAGGACAGGGTAGAAGAAGCCGAAGGAGATGATGAGGACATATTCGTGGAAGACAGCAGAGATGAGAAACACCAACGCCATCGCCGCAGCTCGGTTCTGGTGGCCGAACAGCTGCAACAAACATCACAATACCGTAACAATCATATTGGAGCTGAGTGAGTGAGTGAGTGAGTGAGTGAGTGAGTGAGTGAGTGAGTGAGTGAGTGAGTGAGTGAGTGAGTGTTGCACTCAGCAATATTTCAGCTGTATGACGGTGGTCTATAAATAATCGAAGTGATTTGACATCATGATTGGGATACGATGACATGCAACAGCGAGCCTGACCACCCGATCCTGTTAATCGCCTCTTACAACAAGCATAGTTGCCTTTTACGGCAAGCATGGGTTGCTGAAGATCTATTCTACCTGGATCTTCACGGGTTCAGTAAGTGTGAAAGTGATAGTGGCATGTACTTAAGGACTATTTGCTGAGAAAAAAGTTCCTTCTTACATTCCTGTGGATAACTCAAGTGTGTGAAAATCTAGCCTGTACAGATTCAGCCACAGAAAGGACCAAATCTGCTTTACCAAATTGTTCATGTTTGGTGAGTTTAAGTAAAATAAAATTTTTTGTGAACCACAGTCATAGAACAAGGAAATGATACTGGGGAAGTATTACAGCCACGAATCTCCATATCACAACCCTACTAGAGAAAGCATGGACTGCTCTACCTACCCTGCAAAAGTCCTTGTAGATGTAGGTGTAGAGCCAGTCGTGTACGACGACGTTCCAGGTGCGGTAGTAGTTGGAGAAGGTAGTGGAGTTCCACCAGTCCTTGTAGAAGAGACGATCCCCGAAGCGCAGCATCTCAGCAAATGCATTCAACCACGAGTGCAGGATGGCGAAGAAACCTGAGAATGAAAAGGCAAGTGAGTGAGTGAGTCAGAGATTAGAGAGCCCATGTTAGTTTATGACAGTCAGCAATATTCCACAGTGGCCATTAAATAATCAAGTTCGGGCCATGCAAACCGGTGCTTGTTATAATGATTGGTTAGTTGGTTGGTTTGTTGTTTTACGCCGCACTCAGCAATATTCCAGATATATGACGGCAGTCTGTAAATAATCGAGTGTGGACTAGACAATCCAGTGATTGACATCATAAGCATCGATCCACACAATTGGGATCTATGACATTCATCAACCAAGTCAGCAAGCCTGACCACCCGATCCCGTTAGTCGCCTCTTACGACAAGCATAGTCGCCTAATACACCCAGTATGGGTTGCTGAAGACCTATTCTACTCCACATCTTCACGGGTCTGGATATAATTAACAACATCCAACACCAACATCCCAGCCATGAGTGGAGGAAGAAACCTACCTGGAAAAGGTGAGTATGTCACAGATACTGAGTAGGTATTGTTTTACGCCGCTTTTAGCAATATTCCAGCAACATCATGGCGGGGGACACCAGAAATGGGCTTCACACATTTTACCCATGAATGGAATCGAACTTGGGTCTTTAGTGTGACGAGCGAACACTTTAACCACTAGGCTACCCAACCACCGGACAGATACTCCTGAGTGCATGCTGCCCTACTCCACAGTTAGAGGCTGTGGAGTCTTGTCATGGTGGCCTGGAAAACAATCTGTGCCAGAGGTTGATATTAGTAGGAACCTACAAGTCACCTAGCCTGACCACCAAACAACAAACAATGGAGTGCTGGGGACCTGTAAGTATTGCTCAGAATACCAAGAGTGAGTGAGTGAGAGCGGTTTTACTCCACTTTTATCGATATTCCAACAGTATCACGGGGGGGGGGGGGCACCAGAAATAGGCTTCACACATTGTACACAAGATGGGGAGTGAACTTGGGCCTTCCAATAAATAGCACCAGTGTTCTTGGCAACAAAGTTTACCGATAAATAGCACCAGTGTTCTTGGCAACATGGCTTGCCAATGAATTGCACCAGTGTTCTTGGCAACATGGCTTACCAATTAATAGCACCAGTGTTCTTGGCAACATGGCTTACCAATAAATAGCACCAGTGTTCCAGGCAACATGGCTTACCAATAAATAGCACCAGTGTTCCAGGCAACATGGCTTACTTAAAAATAGCACCATTGTTCTTGGCAACATGGCTTACCAATAAATAGCACCAGTGTTCCAGGCAACATGGCTTACCAATAAATAGCACCAGTGTTCTTGGCAACATAGCTTACCAATAAATAGCACCAGTGTTCCAGGCAACATAGCTTACCAATAAATAGCACCAGTGTTCCAGGCAACATGGCTTACCAATAAACAGCACCAGTGTTCCAGGCAACATGGCTTACCAATAAATAGCACCAGTGTTCCAGGCAACACAGCTTACCAATAAACAGCACCAGTGTTCCAGGCAACATAGCTTACCAATAAATAGCACCAGTGTTCCAGGCAACATAGCTTACCAATAAATAGCACCAGTGTTCCAGGCAACATGGCTTACCAATAAACAGCACCAGTGTTCTTGGCAACATAGCTTACCAATAAATAGCACCAGTGTTCCAGGCAACATAGCTTACCAATAAATAGCACCAGTGTTCCAGGCAACATAGCTTACCAATAAATAGAACCAGTGTTCCAGGCAACATAGCTTACCAATAAATAGCACCTGTGTTCCAGGCAACATAGCTTACCAATAAATAGAACCAGTGTTCCAGGCAACATAGCTTACCAATAAATAGAACCAGTGTTCCAGGCAACATAGCTTACCAATAAATAGCACCAGTGTTCCAGGCAACATGCAGCCGAAAGCTGACAGCATCAGGGCCTTAGGGGTGACATGGTCCTTGTTGAACTTGCGGAAATAAGGGATGCAGAATCTCTCGAAGATGTAGTATGTGTACATGAGACAGGCGAACACCTGGGTGAAGTTGCTCACCACATATTTCCATCGAATACTGTGGGTTCTGAAACATGTTCAAATACAGATTTGATCATTATGAATCTCCATCTATTACTGTGGGTTCTGAAACATGTTCAAATACAGATTTGATCATTATGAATCTCCATCTATTAAAGTGAACATTATGAATCCCCATAAAATATTGTGGGTTCTGAAGCATGTTCAAATACGATTTGATCATCATGAATCTCATTCTAATAAAGTGATCATTATGAATCTCCATCTACTACTGTGGGTTCTGAAACATGTTCACATACAGACTTGATCATCATAAATCACAATCTTATATTGTGGGTTCTGAAACATGTTCACATACAGACTTGATCATCATGAATCACAATCTTATATTGTGGGTTCTCAAACATGTTCACATACAGACTTGATCATCACAGGGTGGGTCTGTAAGTGGTGAAAGCTCGATAGATCCAACGTTATAACCATTCGGGACATAACCATCATCTTACAAGACAATATCTACCGTATTTTCTTGAGTATAGTGCGCACCCATGTATAATGCGCACCCCCCTCTAGCGGGTTTAATATTTTGGAAAAAAAGAAATTTGAATATTATGCGCAGAAAAAAATTACACCGTACCCTTTCAGCGAAGTCCGGCAAACGAACGGGTGATGAGAAACTTCGTCAGTACAAATTCGAAATTTGAGATATAATCACCAGACATGTTTATTTACCAATTAAAAAGTATTTATTGTTCTGCTAGGCATTGTTTTATATCTAGGGATTAAGATTACCTTGTGTATTGTCTCGTAAACAAAGCCGGAAACGGCAATCAGCTGTACACACATTTTCTTGGAATGGACCGGTGATTCGGTCAAGACACACCCAATGATATAACTTTATAGGATTTTTAATGCAAGGATCGGCAACAATTGTATCTGAAACTATTTTTTTTTATCAGGATCAATATAGTCCATTATTTTCTTAATTATATGCAGCCTTTACTAAACATATTTCAAATAATAATAACCCTAAGCGAAGCAGCTGATCGCTATTCCCGGGTATTATTTTTTACATGGAACCAGTCTGACCAGTCACCGTCAAGGCTCACGCGCACGTGATCGCGAGAATTTCATGTTGACATCGAACCGTCAAACAAAAACAAATATGACTTTTAAGGAGTCAAAGTATGTCATTTATGATATATGTATCCATTCTCTGTCAACTAAAGTTCGTTTCAAGGCGTCAATAGCGGTATTCTGACCGTGTTTGCTGTTAATAACGGTGAGTTGTGCGATCTTCCGATCGCTTCACACACGATTTCGCCGAAATTAATAAAAACAATATTAAAAAGAATTTTGAATAAAATTAATGAAATAAGTTACAAATATAAGTCCAGATATACAAAGAACACTTTTTATAGCCAGACAGTGTAATTACATGATTATTTTGCGTACTTCAGTATGGATTTGTTGACATGGTATTTCCGGTGTTCCGTGCTCACGGTAATGTCTTTCCATGGGGGAAAAAAACATCCAAACTCATAATACGTGTATAATGCGCACCCCCTTCTACACAGCTGTGTTTTTTCGAAAAAAAGTGTGCACTATACTCAAGAAAATACGGTAATTTCTTTATTCAATCATGGAGCTTCCAGGGTGGTCTGCAGGTGTGTCTTGTAACCATGGTAACACATACCTGGGGTAGGAGTCTCTGTAGATGAGGGTGGGGGCGAAGAGGAAGTACAGGTACTTGGAGAACCCCGGGCACCGACTCTCCGTCGTCTCCCCTCCTGACATACAAGGCAGGTTTCAGTTACATGTATAACTGTTCAGAAATATAACTTACACACATATCCTTTGCTGTTCAAATATAATTACAAGAATTCAGTTTTAAGTGATCTGTAAAGTATGGTTGGTGGGATGAACGAGAAGATCCTGAAAGAGTTTGGTGAGAACACTGTCAACAGGACAAGCGAGTCATTGTTTCAGATGCAGTAACCAAACCAAGGATCATAATTGACATTAATCCTGAATTCAAACCCACGGCTTATTTTTCCACTACCTAATCCAGATCATATCAAATCTGTACAGCAATCACATCTTATTTGATCTCAAGAGGAAAATTAACATGTTTTGATTTTTCTCTATTCAATTTTACATGTCTTAAGATATTGTTGAAATGTGTCAAATAATATTAGGCAAATGGTTGGTTGGTTGATTTGTTGTTTAACGCTGCACTCAGCAATATTCTAGCTATATGGCGGCGGTCTGTAAATAATCAAGTCTGGACCAGACAATCCAGTGATTGATATCATGAGCTTCGATCCACGCAATTTGGATTGATGACATGAGCCTGACCACCCAATCCTGTTAGTCACCTTTTACGACAAGCATAGTCGCCTTTTACGGCAAGCATGCGTTGCTGAAGACCTATTCTACCCCGGATCTTCACTGTTATTAGGCAAATGGAGTTACTTGTGGCACCATAGACAAGTCGACAGAACCTGCCATCAGTGCACATCTCCTCTCCTCCACATACCCTCATGTTCCTTGCTGTCATCCTTCTTGTGGTTCAGCAAGCGCACCATGTTTGTACGGACAAAGGCATGAGTCTTCATACACAGGCGCAACTGCAGGGCAGAGAAACAGAAGAACATAACATACGACAAGCATGGGTTGCTGAAGACCTATGGTGTTACATGCTCACGGTAATGTCTTTGCGTTTGGGGAAAAAACCATCAAAACTCATTATGGCGTGTATAATGCGCACCCCCTTCTACATAGCTGTGTTGGTTTTTTTAAAAATGTGTGCACTATTCTCAAGAAAATACGGTACACTCTACCCGGATCTTTATGGGTCTAATACGACAAGCACTATAAAATTGGCATCATACTTTCTGTATCATAGGGAAATACTGTCAGGAGCTGTAGTGACGAAGTCAAGCAGTTTTCTTATCGCGACGTTCATTGGCCAGATTGTATGTATTAATCCAATTATGAAGGGTATTGCATTGATCTGTTGTTATGGTTCGTATGGTGTTGATTTGTGAGCAGATGGCAATTCTCGTGTTTGTGTATTGGAGTGAGTGAGTGAGTTGGGTTCAACGCCTCTTTTAACAGTATTCCAGTTTTATCACAGCATGTCAGCTTAATGTGGGAGGAAAGCCTGAAGTGATGCAGGTCTCAGACATTTACCACTTTGGTGAAACCCACGAGCACGGGTATGGTGCTGACAAACCTAGAAACATAATTGAGGCGAAACAGGATTCAAACCCACAATCATAGGTTTCTGGCTTCCCCAAGGGACGCAAAACTGCACAGTGAATCACACTAACTAGGCCACTCATGCCCCCTGTTTGTGTATTTGATGGATTGATTTTTGCCATTGACTTCTTACATTTTTCAGGTCCAAGTCATTGATCTATATGCAGCTTTTGGGTCCCAATCACTGGCCAAGGGCCAGCAACACTCACCTGTTCACAGGCGATAATGAGGGTGGATGCAGGTGGCAGTTCATTCTCTGCGACGTATTTGATGGGCAGCACCAGGAACAGGCACTCATACAAGATGTACAACACCAGCCAGATGTAGTCCATCAGCCCTGAAACAACATGTACACTAGAATCGTGTTTCATTACATGCAAAACAGAGGCAGATCCGTACCCACCATCCCTGAATGCCTCGTAACGTTCCTACCATACTGACTTCACCACATCAGAGTGAGTGAGTGAGTGAGTGAGTGAGTGAGTGAGCGAGCGAGAGCTAAACACATTGTACCCATGTTGGGAATAGAACCCAAATTTTCGACGTGACGAGTGAACACTTTAATCACTAGGCTGCCTCATACCCAAAACCAGTGAGTGAGAGAGTGAGAGAGTGAGAGAGTGAGTGAGTGAGTGAGTGAGTGAGTGAGTGAGTGAGTGAGTGAGTGAGTGAGAGCTACACACATTGTACCCATGTTGGGAAACGAACCCAAATTTTCGACGTGACGAGTGAACACTTTAATCACTAGGCTGCCTCACACCCAAAACCAGTGAGTGAGAGAGTGAGAGAGTGAGAGAGTGAGTGAGTGAGTGAGTGAGTGAGTGAGTGAGTGAGAGCTACACACATTGTACCCATGTTGGGAATAGAACCCAAATTTTCGACGTGACGAGTGAACACTTTAATCACTAGGCTGCCTCACACCCAAAACCAGTGAGTGAGAGAGTGAGAGAGTGAGAGAGTGAGTGAGTGAGTGAGTGAGTGAGTGAGTGAGAGCTACACACATTGTACCCATGTTGGGAATAGAACCCAAATTTTCGACGTGACGAGTGAACACTTTAATCACTAGGCTGCCTCACACCCAAAACCAGTGAGTGAGTGAGTGAGTGGACTTCATACATTGTACCCATGTGGGGAATAGAACCCAGGTCTTCGACGTGACGAGTGAGCCCTTCAACCACTAGGCTGCCCAACACCCCTCACCACATCAGTGACAGGTGACCTAACACATGCCCAATATACAAGCAATCTTTGAAACAGAAAAGACTACGTCTCTAAATATCTTAATAACAAAGCTATTAGCACTTCCGGTTCAAGGGCATCACTTCTGGTTTTTGTTGATTTGTGAGCAGATGGCACAAGCAATGTTTGTGCAATGTTTGTGTATTGGAGTGAGTGAGTTGGGTTTAATGCTGCTTTTAACAGTATTCCATTTATATCACGGCATGTCAGCTTAATGTGGGAGGAAAGCCTGAAGTGATGCAGGTCTCAGACGTTTACCACTACGGTGAAACCAACGAGCATGGTTATGGTGCTGACAAACCTAGAAACATAATTGGGGGAAGTGGGATTCGAACCCACAATCATAGGTGTCTGGCATGCCCAAGGGACACAGCGAATCGCGGCGCCTTAGACGACTGGGCCACCCGTGCCCCCTCTGGTTTTGGAAACACACGCCTAATGCAGTACATGTTTGAAACAGAAAGTCTTATGCCACTTTTACCTTAATAACAAAGCTATGAGCACGTCCTGGGTTAAATGACCTTGACCTACAGTATCAGCCATGAACTGCCAAGAGATCATGGATATTAAGTTTCAGCAACATCCAATCACAAATGCTCTAGATATTGTGTATACACACTTCCAACGGAGTGACCCTGACCTTCAATGTCATCCAATCACATGTGAGAACATTGCTTGTTGCAAAACTATGGTTGTTTTACTTATTATTCTCACACTGAGATACACTAGGGTTGGGTTCTTGAGGAAGGCAATACATCAGGGGAGACAACCGTGTTTTTTCTCAAATTATCTCCCCTTTGACTATCATTGTGTAGGTTGGGAACATTTCAACTGTAACTGACCAGGGAAAACCTGCTGATCACCATCTGGCTAAGTATGTACTGACACAAAGTACACCAGTGATTTTATGTGTGTCGGTGTTGGTTTCAACCGTATTTTGGGTCGTGGGGTAGCCTAGTGGTAAAAGCATCACGCTCAAGCTCATCACGCCGGCATGTGAAGCCCATTTCTGATGTCCCCTGCTGTGATATTGCTGGAATATTGCTAAAAATGGTGTAAAACTATACTCGCTCACCGACTCACTCACAGTATTTCTGTGTTATCAACATTCCAGCTCAATCTGGGAGGAAAACCATGTTGATTTCAATATACAATCTACAGTTTCCAAAAACATTCTTAGTTTAAAGATTTCCCCAAAACCATATGGTTGGAGGTCAAATAATAATAATAATAAACAAATTCTGGAAACATTGTTCTTTAATGTGATCTCAAGAAGAAACTGTCAAGCAGTTGAAAAGTTTGTGAGCTAGAGATACTTCCCTTTTCACTGACCTATTTTAAGTTTATCAAAATTAGTGAACAAATTTGATGGGAAGGAAAAACATATTTTGGGTCAACAGATAAGAACTGAAAAATATTGTTAACGAGCTGCCACAAAATTTGGTGTCACTTTCAGCCATTATCAACAAGCTTGAAATACTTATATCCCTCACCAATATGAAAATCTCCGGCTATGTGCAAGGCAAGAAATAGAGTACGATTTTCAAGATTTGCTCTGGAAACGAGCACTAAAGCCATTTTCAGTCTAGGTCCAAGTCATTGCTATGGAAACTTGAAAAATAAATTAGAAAAAATCACAAACTTTCAAAAGGCACCAGTTCACCACTAGACCTATCTATGTGCCAAGTTTGGTTGGGATATCTGTCATGGTTATTGAATTCTGCTCCAGAAATGAAACGTGACGGACGGACAGACAGCACCCATTCCTATATGCCCGTTCCACTTCATGGCGGGGTATAATAACATCAATATCAGAAGATGCAAGTGGAGGAGTAATCTCCCCTAGTTTGACTCACGTGGCTTGCCAGGGACCCTGTTGGTTGACCAGTAGTAGAAGGCTGGGTACACCACCAGCAGCGTGCTCAGCTTCATGCACACCCACAACGCCATCACCTTTGGCAACTTGCCCAGGCCCCATTGTATCAGGTCAAAGTCCAGGACGAGTCTGGAGAAAATAGTACATAATAACACTGTAATAGAAAATGAGTGAGTCAGGTTTAATGTCACTTTTTGAACAGTACTGCAGTCATAACATGGCGTGTCAGACTGATTTGGGAGGAAAGCCTGAAGTGATGCAGGTCTCCGACATTGCTTGGTGCTGAGAAAACAAGAAACATTTTCACGGTGAATCCAGGAAAGTAGGTTCCTGGCACAAACATTTTACATCCCATGACCTTGACCTTCAATTAAACGTTCAATCAGGACAAAGCTCTGGATGGTCATTTACTCTTAGTGAAACAGAACTGACATGTTACATTGTTAGTCAAATCCATTTTTTTAGCCTCTGAGCTACAATAGTCATTAATCAAAACACTAAATATCTACAGCTGATCAAGTCTTCCCTGGTTGGCCCGCGCAGAAGCTTGTAGCAGTAACACGTTCAACTAACTCAAGACACAGTGTTGGTGAATGGATGACAGCCCATGGATACCATGTGGGAAAGTAAACATATATTTGTAAATTAAAAATTAAATAAAAACGCTGAATGAGCAAAGCTTAACACCGCACTCAACAATAAACCAGCCATATGTCAGTGGAATCAAGTGATGGATATAATGAGCATCGATCCACGCTGTCAGGGTACACTGCCACGCAATCAGCCAAGTTACTGACCATGATGACCCCATGCACTAGTTGCCTACTACAACCAGCATAGAGTGGTAGAAACCACGCAATCAGCCAAGTCAGCGAACATGATGACCCCATGCACTAGTCGCCTACTACACCCAGCATAGAGTGTTAGAAACTACGCATCAGCCAAGTCAGCGAACATGATGACCCTATGCACTAGTCGCCTACTACACCCAGCATAGAGTGTTAGAAAACTACGCATCAGCCAAGTCAGCGAACATGATGACCCCATGCACTAGTCGCCTATCACAACCAGCATAGAGTGGTAGAAACCACGCATATCAGCCAAGTCAGCGAACATGATGACCCCATGCACTAGTCGCCTACTACAACCAGCATAGAGTGGTAGAAACCACGCATATCAGCCAAGTCAGCGAACATGATGACCCCATGCACTAGTCGCCTACTACAACCAGCATAGAGTGGTAGAAACAACGCAATCAGCCAAGTCACTGACCATGATGACCCCATGCACTAGTCGCCTACTACATCCAGCATAGAGTGGTAGAAACTACGCAATCAGCCAAGTCAGCGAACATGATGACCCCATGCACTAGTCGCCTACTACACCCAGCATAGAGTGGTAGAAACTACGCAATCAGCCAAGTCAGCGAACATGATGACCCCATGCACTAGTCGCCTACTACACCCAGCATAGAGTGGTAGAAACTACGCATCAGCCAAGTCAGCGAACATGATGACCCTATGCACTAGTCGCCTACTACAACCAGCATAGAGTGGTAGAAACCATGCAATCAGCCAAGTCAGCGAACATGATGACCCTATGTACTAGTCGCCTACTACAACCAGCATAGAGTGGTAGAAACCATGCAATCAGCCAAGTCAGCTAACATGATGACCCTATGTACTAGTCGCCTACTACAACCAGCATAGAGTGGTAGAAACCATGCAATCAGCCAAGTCAGCGAACATGATGACCCTATGTACTAGTCGCCTACTACAACCAGCATAGAGTGGTAGAAACCACGCAATCAGCCAAGTCAGCGAACATGATGACCCTATGCACTAGTCGCCTACTACAACCAGCATAGAGTGGTAAAAACCACGCAATCAGCCAAGTCAGCGAACATGATGACCCCATGCACTAGTCGCCTACTACAACCAGCATAGAGTGTTAGAAACTACGCAATCAGCCAAGTCAGCGAACATGATGACCCTATGCACTAGTCGCCTACTACACCCAGCATAGAGTGGTAGAAACTACGCAATCAGCCAAGTCAGCGAACATGATGACCCTATGCACTAGTCGCCTACTACAACCAGCATAGAGTGTTAGAAACTACGCAATCAGACAAGTCAGCGAACATGATGATCCCATGCACGAACATGATGACCCCATGCACTAGTCGCCTACTACACCCAGCACAGAGTGTTAGAAACTATTCTATCCCGGAATACAGACAGGATGCCCAGGACGCAATCAGCCAAGTCAGCGAACATGATGACCCCATGCACTAGTCGCCTACTACACCCAGCATAGAGTGTTAGAAACTACGCATCAGCCAAGTCAGCGAACATGATGACCCCATGCACTAGTCGCCTACTACAACCAGCATAGAGTGGTAGAAACCACGCAATCAGCCAAGTCAGCGAACATGATGACCCCATGCACTAGTCGCCTACTACAACCAGCATAGAGTGTTAGAAACCACGCAATCAGCCAAGTCAGCGAACATGATGACCCCATGCACTAGTCACCTACTACAACCAGCATATAGTGGTAGAAACTATTCTATCCCAGAATACAGACAGGATGCCCAGGGAATATTTCCTTATTTCGCCTGACAATTATTGTGAATACTTCGCATTACAAAATGGCCCGATCCACATGCCCAGTACTTACCTGCCTTGCTCCACCCAGTCGAAGATGATGGTATTGAGACTAAAAACGACGAGTATTGCTACAAATATATGGTAGATTGTTCTTATATGGTTGATCTCAAACAATTCCCTGAAAAGACAAAGACACATGTTTTACCATAAATATATATGCATATAGAGAATCTCACCCGAGTGTCTGCTGATATAAAATATATCAACTCTCCTGCAAAAACTCCGAGGATTGCCGAGGGGTGTTTCCATTTTTATCAACAAGTGTTGATATATTAGATAACAAAATACATGAGGGTGAGATTTTATTTATCATCCAACATCATTCTTCCAACTTTTTCAGTTTGTAGACAGTAATAAGCAGTGTCTTAAGTGTAAAAGGTACTGCCTACAGCTTCAGTAGCAGAGCCATTAGTGATGTCATTTGATTGTGACGTCATGGTAACCAATGTAGATATCGCTTGATCTCACCCAAGCCATTCTAGTCATATCACAATGTGCCAGCTTAATGTGGGAGGAAAGCCCGAAGTGATGCAGGTCTCAGACGTTTACCACTTCGGTGAAACCCACGAGCACGGGTATGGTGGTGACAAACCTGGAAACATAATCGGGGCGAACCAGGATTCAAACCCACAATCATAGGTTTCTGGCGTGCCCAAGGGACGCAACTAGGGGTGACTATTGGTCTGGAAATCACTATTGTGATAACTATTGATGTTGAAAGAAACTATTGCAATAAATATCAATAGTCACCATTTTAGACAGATTCTAGAGTTGAATTAAACCTTGGAACTGAAGTTTCCTTTGAATGTGATAACCATAATGACAAATAAAAAGTAAAGTTTGAGATATGACTGATTTGTTGTTTCTTTACCCTAATTTTTTACTCTAAGAAAGCCTGGTTGCTAAGCATCAAGGGCAGTTAACTCTTATCCTCACTCGGCTGCATTCGAGAGCGTGTTTCGGTGACTCAATCGTATGATATGGTAAATACAATCGAAACTATCGCTATTCCTAACTGAAATCGAGACTATTGATCGGAAGCTGATTTAATAATCGATTTATTGACTTTAAGTGCTAACCAATAGCAATATATCGATATTTCGATACATCGTGACACCCCTACACACAACCTGCACAATTGTGGCACTTAGATGACTGGGCCACCCATGACCCCGAATATAATCATGATAAGTGAATATGTGTATTTTCATTAACATAATCAAATCAAATATAAAACAACCTGAATATCTCCAAACATCATTCAGAACATGAATATTATCATTGTATAACTTCTTTGAGTGGCATTTAGAAGTTGGAGTGATAAAGTAAGACGAGTTCTATGGATGAACAACTTCTTTATTACAATTGGTGCGACGTTTCGGTGTAGATCCTAACACCTTTATCAAGCAAGTGATGGCCCTCTCTGTGCCCATCAACTAGTCACTGTAACAACCTAGATGTCAATAAGTGTATATATACCTATGTTGTTTAGCCCTATCCATCACTTGCTTGATAAAGGTGTTAGGATCTACACCGAAATGTCGCACCAATTGTAATAAAGAAGTTGTTCATCCATAGAACTCGTCTTACTTTATTATCATTGTTTGTTATCATGAAGCATTTATTCATGTGTGAACTGATCTGTATCATAGGCATAAACATGGTCTACTGAATAATCCATATCTTAAACGTAATAGTAATTTCAGGTGATGTCAGAAACTTATAGCAATAATGATCGGATGTAGAAGGTCCGTGGCATTTGTTACATATGTATTTATCCCAGACTGATGACAATCTGGAGACTCTCATCCATGTAGACCATGGTGCCTTTAATGTCAGTGTGTGAGTGAGGGTGTTGGGTTTGATCCTGTGTGAACGGTGTGTCAGTTGCATTCGGTGTCAGCTTGATGTGGGAGCATAGTGATGCAGTTCCGAGATGCTACCACTTTGGTGAAACCAACAAACAGGGTATGTTGGACAAACCCAGCATCTTGATCAGGGCAAGGCTTTACTATTAATATTCAGGGTTTTACCTTGACTTAGAAAAGGGGGGTCCAGGTTAAGGTACTGTACATTTACATAATTACTCGAGAGCCTGGCATGAATCAGTGATCCTCTGGACAGTGGTCATGATTGATGGATGAGTGAGTGAGTGAGTATGGTTTTACACCCCTTTTAGCAATATTCCAGCAATATCACGGCGGGGGACACCAATATGGGCTTCACACATTGTACCCATGTCGGGAATCGAACCCGGGTCTTCGGCGTGACGCGCGAATACTTTAACCACTAGGCTACCCGACTGCCTGATTGATGGATGAAATGACAGACACTCATAACTGCTCTTGATGTGCTATTACAATCAATATTATTTGTGATGCAGTATATTCTTTTTCTGCATCCATTCTCTACGTTTGTGCATCGCATAAAACCCTGATTGTTCAAGACGCAAGGTGGTTTCTGTTGTGACCCAACAACTCCTATACTCACGTTAATACTGATCGACGATTTACAAACACCTTATCTGGCAGATCCCCATCTTTCCTTCTTTTACTGAAAAATTCAATGTAGCTGTTATAACCATGGTAACAAATATATATTAATACATAACAACATTATGGGACTATCACACACAATGTTTGACATTTTAGAAGTAGAGACAGTACGTGGCATATGTTAACATGAGACGACAGGCGAAGTGCACTATCGGTTAACATTAACATGATTAAGGCAGAAATACAGTTTTCAATTAAAACCAATGTTGCTATGTATATCTGAAAATATGTCATTCGATACCATGAATTCTGACTGTAAATCACATGAGCACTTTGATTAATAACATGAAATGATTTGGGAAATACCTGTCAACGCCCAGTTGACAGTACACATCCTTTGCAAAATGCTGTAAGCAAATGAGATGAGGTGAAATGAGGTTTAACGTCGCGTCCAAGATTATTGCACTCATATTGCGACGTACATGCGCATGTGTGTTTGTAGCGGCTTGTACTAGTCTGGACTGATGCCGATTTATAGTGCTAGCCCACTGAGATACCATGCTGCAGTTTAACATGAATACCCACTCAGACACAGTATTCTGACTCCGAGCCGACCAGTCCTTGTTTTAGCCCTTTAATGCCGAGCGCCAGACAGGGTAACAACAAGTACCATCTTTGAACATCTTTTGGTCTGACATGGACGGGGATCGAACCCTGGACCTTCCGTTCTCCGGAACGCCGCTTTGAACAGTATTTCAGTCATATCCCGGTATGTCAGTTTGATATAGGAGTGAGTGAGTTGGTCTAACGCAGCTTGAAGAGTATTTCAGTCATATCCCGGTATGTCAGTTTGATGTGGGAGTGAGTGAGTTGGTCTAATGCTGCTTTGAACAGTATTTCAGTCATATCCCGGTATGTCAGTTTGATGTGGGAGTGAGTGAGTTGGTCTAATGCTGCTTTGAACAGTATTTCAGTCATATCCCGGTATGTCAGTTTGATGTGGGAGTGAGTGAGTTGGTCTAATGCTGCTTTGAACGGTATTTCAGTCATATCCCGGTATGTCAGTTTGATGTGGGAGTGAGTGAGTTGGTCTAACGCAGCTTGAACAGTATTTCAGTCATATCCAGGTATGTCAGTTTGATGTGGGAGTGAGTGAGTTGGTCTAACGCAGCTTGGACAGTATTTCAGTCATATCCCGGTATGTCAGTTTGGTGTGGGAGGGAGGAATCTAAAAGTATCACGGGTCTTGGTTGTTTAACACCCAGGTGCACGGGTATGGTGCTGACAAACCTAGATACATAATCAGGACAAATGTGGGATTTGAACCCATGATCACAGGTTCCTGGCATGCTCAAGGGAAACAACTCTGCACAGCAAATTGTGATGCTTTAGATGATAGGGCCACCTACGTTTCAAATGCGCTTCTGTTGAAACTGAGACAATCATGGTTAGGGCCAAAAGGACTTCATGTCCTGCTTTAGTGACAGCAAGTTGTCTCATGCTGCAGCCAGCAATATTCCAGCTACACCACAGAGTGAGTGAGTGAGTGTGTGATTCTCCACCGCTTTTGGCAATATTCCAGCAATATCACGGTGGGGGACACCAGAAATGATCTTCACACATTGTACCCATGTGGGGAATCAAACCCGGGTCTTTGACGTGACGAGCGAACGCTTTAACCCCAGCTACACCACAGCATCCTGAGCTTGAATTTGGGACAGACAAACCAGTGCTTCATATATTGTACAATCATACATGCCATCAGGTTACCATGGCAACAAAAGCACAAACTAGCCAGAGCTCCATTTCCCAAAGAGATCTGTTGCTACGACAGGCATACCTCCCATACTTTAACAAAGACTTATGACAGTCGTGGCCCTCGACAGCTTCGTGAAATGGGGCATGGAATACCCAGATCCCCTTGGACCTGTTCTGATACAGAATCACCTCAGGGTAACCATGGTAACATGCTCAAAAAAGGGAAGTTCTAATGAAACTGTCTGAGGGAAAAAGGGTGCAAAAACAATGGACTGAAGATCCTGCTTCAACAACATGTTTAAAAAAATATTTCAGACAAAAAAGGTCCCTTGACCAAAAATAAACTAATATCTCAACCGGACATGAAAATAAAACCAGCTAAAGATTTCATTGCCATAATTTCCATAAACACCATGATAAAGCCATCTTTAAATCATATTAGAGAGTACGGCTAAAAAGTTCTGTAGCTCACCTGCATGTGTAGTCAACAGTTTAAACTATCAACAAAGATCAACACGTAACAAGTTGCTGTCAGCAGTGATATTCAAATATTGTCTGCGTAAATACAGACATCTAATGATTTGTCAAAAGTATGATGACATCAGAAAGAGAAACTTACAGCTCCCTCAGAGCAAAATATGAATTTTTGGAGAATAAAAGAGCATAGTCAAAACAGGATCCACATATAAACAGAACATATATGTTGAACCCCTCTACTAACTTCACGCGAAGAAAATAATTTCCAAACATTTTTAACAAATAATGGCCTATCAACAGTTTTTCCAAAAAGGGCTGCTGTGGCGGCCATATTGAAAATGGTATTCGAACATCTTGAATACATTCATGTGTCATCATTGGATGGAATTGTTGAAGTTACTGCTTCATTGGTGTGAAGAGGAAGAGAGAATTTAGGTGCATCGCCAAAGCGCAAAGATCTAAGGTCAGAATTTAAAATATTGCCAACAAGGTAACCAAAATGTGTTGCTCCCCACTACACAGTGACACAATCCCCACTACTGAATGACAATGGCAGAGAAATAGCCATAGCAGTATCAGCTTCTAATATGGTCAAATCAAGGCCAAAAGTATTGTGAAAAAATGGAACATGAGTCCCACTACTAACATCACATGCACCAAATTTTATCATTATTTTTTATGATGATTGAGTAATGGCCATGAAAAGTTTTTTCAATATGGCTGCCGTGGTGGCCATATTGAAAATCGGATTCGAACATCTTGACCAAATTGAGGTGTCCACAAATATATGATGCAGTACTCAGAAGAATAAATCCAGGCCATCCACCAATGTGTTCTTCACATTCAACCATTCAGCCGATATGATCCCCATTCTCTCACAACAGACACAGGACAAGGTGCTGCCCATATGATCCCCATTCTCTCACAACAGACATAGGACAAGGTGCTGCCCATATCATCCCTCTTCTCACACAATAGACACAGGACAAGGTGCTGCCCATATGATCCCCATTCTCACACAACAGACACAGGACAAGGTGCTACCAATATGATCCCCATTCTCTCACAACAGACACAGGACAAGGTGCTGCCCATATGATCCCCATTCTCACACAATAGACACAGGACAAGGTGCTGCCCATATGATCCCCATTCTCACACAACAGACACAGGACAAGGTGCTGCCCATATGATCCCCATTCTCTCACAACAGACACAGGACAAGGTACTGCCGATATGATCCCCATTCTCTCACAACAGACACAGGACAAGGTGCTGCCGATATGATCCCCATTCTCACACAATAGACACAGGACAAGGTGCTGCCCATATGATCCCCATTCTCTCACAACAGACACAGGACAAGGTGCTGCCCATATGATCCCCATTCTCTCACAACAGACACAGGACAAGGTGCTGCCCATATGATCCCCATTCTGTCACAACAGACACAGGACAAGGTGCTGCCCATATGATCCCCATTCTCTCACAACAGACACTGGACAAGGTGCTTCCCATATGATCCCCATTCTCTCACAACAGACACAGGACCAGGTGCTGCCCATATGATCCCCATTCTCTCACAACAGACACAGGACAAGGTGCTGCCCATATGATCCCCATTCTCTCACAACAGACACTGGACAAGGTGCTGCCCATATGATCCCCATTCTCACACAACGGACAAAGGACAAGGTGCTGCCCATATGATCCCCATTCTCACACAACAGACACAGGACAAGGTGCTGCCCATATGATCCCCATTCTCTCACAACAGACACAGGACAAGGTGCTGCCCATATGATCCCCATTCTCACACAACAGACACAGAACAAGGTGCTGCCCATATGATCCCCATTCTCTCACAAAGGACACTGGACAAGGTGCTGCCCATATGATCCCCATTCTCTCACAACAGACACAGGACAAGGTGCTGCCCATATGATCCCCATTCTCTCACAATGGACACAGGACAAGGTGCTGCCCATATGATCCCCATTCTGTCACAACAGACACTGGACAAGGTGCTGCCCATATGATCCCCATTCTCTCACAACAGACACAGGACAAGGTGCTGCCCATATGATCCCCATTCTGTCACAACAGACTCTGGACAAGGTGTTGCGGCCTCTTCCCACATAAAACTCCACTATTTCCACATTGCAGACCTTGACCTTGACTCTTACTGCTGACAGAAACCAGTTGCATGTTCAGATGCATGCTGTAAAAGGCGACTTAGCTTGTCGTAAGAGGCGACTAACTTGTGTGTTTGTTTGTTGTTTAACACTGCACTCAGCAATATTCTAGCTAGCGATCTGTAAATAATCGAGGCCCAGGCAATTGGGATCAATGACATGCATCAACCAAGTCAGTGAGCCTGACCACCCGATCCCGTTAGTCGCCTCTAACGACAAGCATAGTCGCCTTTTCGGCAAGCATAGGTTGCTGAAGAGCTATTCTATCCCGGCTCTTCATGGGTCTGCTTTGTTAAGGAGTGTGCCTGGTTTGTTAAGGAGTGTGAACAGTAGTTTAAAAACCTTCAGACGTATCGCATTGAACAATGTTGGTCAAACATTGATGGCCAATTATCAGAACAGAATTCAAGTTACAATCTGAAAAATATTCAATTTTCCTACTTCTTTTTCTTATAACATTTTTAATTATTTTTTTAATTTTTATTTTTCCTACTTTGTTCATGTTGTAGGTCAACCAAATTTACAATCATTTCTGACACATGCATCATTATATTCAGATTTGATTATATTTTTCGGGAAATGGGGCAAATCGAAAACAGGATCTGAAATTCCATAAGTTAAGCAACAAAATGATGAAATAACGAAGTGCATGAGTTACCTCCCCTTGATAGTTTTTAATAAATCAAACAACTGTTTTATGGCATGAAATGGGAACAGGAAGTTAGAAAATGCTGGGCAGAGAAATTCAACAGTGAAAACAACGGGGCCAGGTCCCTTTCATGTTAGTCATGCAGTGGACGAGTCAAGAAACAATGCCTTTCTAAATAAACAATATTCACCAGATACACAATGCCTTTCTAAATACACAATATTCACCAGATACACAATGCCTTTCTAAATACACCATATTCACCCGATACACAATGCCTTTCTAAATACACAATATTTACCCGATACACAATGTATTTCTAAATACACAATATTCAGCCAATACACAATGCCTTTCCGAATACACAATATTAACCTGATACACAATGCCTTTCCGAATGCACAATATTCACCCGAAACACAATGTATTTCTAAATATACAATATTCACCCGATACACAATGCCTTTCTAAATACACACTATTCAACCTATACACAATGCCTTCCTCAATACACAATATTCACCCAATACACAATGCCTTTATAAATACACAATATTCACCCGATACACAATGCCTTTCTCAATTCACAATATTCATCCGATACACAATCCCTTTCTAAATACACAATATTCACCCGATACACAATGCCTTTCCGAAAGCACAATATTCACCCGATACACAATGCCTTTCTCAATTCACAATATTCACCCGATACACAATGCCTTTCTAAATACACAATATTCACCTAATATACAGTGTCATCTTAAATACACAATATTCACCCAATACACAATGCCTTTATAAATACACAATATTCACCCGATACACAATGCCTTTCTAAATACACAATATTCACCCGATACACAATGCCTTTCTAAATACACAATATTCATCCGATACACAATGCCTTTCTAAATACACAATATTCACCCGATACACAATGCCTTTCTAAATACACAATATTCACCCAATACACAGCTGACTCATAAATGACAGTGATAAAACAAATTTATTTTACCTGTCCCGGGATATAATAAAACTACCATATTAGACGTAATAAGCACCCAGGGTGCTCTCAAAATTAGAAATAGGGGGCTCTTATTAGAATTTAATTTTGGTGAGAAAGATCGTAAATTTTATGGTTTATGCTGACAGCCTAAAATGATAAAAAAGAAAAGTCTGTGTGTATTATACATGACAGATATATTTTCCAGAGATTAATTGCCCATAATTAAGGGCGCATATAACACACGAGTGCATATTATACACAAATAAATAAGTGTACACTGACCAATCGGAAGGGTGCTAATTGGGATCGTTCACTAGCCAATATATTTGCAAATATCGCTGTGGGCGCTTATTACCCGGTACGTTGAATACGGTACATATACCCTCTTCTTGATAGTCAAATACCCCTGAAACTTATCCCCAAAAGATACTGCACAGGAAGCATCATATCAATCGAATTAATATAATAATTCCTAAAATATAATGCATTTTTTTGTCCTCCATATGCACCAAAAACGGTATTGCCTTTTTCAAACAATGATTCATTAAATTTTAATTGGGTTGCAGTTTGTTTGTGTGTTTAATACATAATTATGGCATACAATTGAGGTTATTCTGTCTCCAAGAATTTTCATAAAAAAATGTCAATCTATAAGAAGTAATGAAAATCAGTGTTAGAAAATCAACTCCATGACAAAGTCACAGAAAGATGAGTTTAATCCATCAAACTGCCTGTCCCAGCAACAAGCATCCCTTCTCCGATTGCTGTATCCCAAACCTACAGATATGAATAAACATTGACAACACTATAGTATCTGCCACTACAACAGATGTTCACCAAGTATTCGGCCATGTGCAACAGGATCCTGCTTCTGTTTACTAAACACAACAGTTACACATCAAGCAGTTGAGACCGGTGGTCATGAGGACTGTAGCATTCTTATAGTCTCCACAAAACGGCTATTGAAAACAAATGTAACTATAAAACACGCTGAGAAAACTCTCACAAGAATTTTACAACTAAATGGATTATATTCTTTGGTAAATAATCTGGTAGATGTTACAATGTGAATAATTGATACTGGCCTAAAATGAAATATTGTATATGACTCTCAATTAACCTGTCTCAAATCCAACTTGATAGTTTTATAGAAAGAATGCTAACTTTCTGCTAGCATAATGATCAATTTCTCAGTTCTGGGAACAACTTACATCACGTTGTGTGAACACCTTACATACGTTGTGTGAACACCTTACATAACGTTGTGTGAACACCTAACATCACGTTGTGTGAACACCTTACATAATGTTGTGTGAACACCTTACATAACATTGTGTGAACACCTTACATAATATTATGTGAACACCTTACATCACGTGGTGTACACAGCATTGTTCTGGGAACACCTAACATCACGTTGTGTGAACACCTAACATCACTTTGTGTGAACACCTAACGTCACATTGTGTGAACACCTAACATCACGTTGTGTGAACACCTAACATCACGTTGTGTGAACACCTTACATCACGTTGTGTGAACACCTAACGTCACATTGTGTGAACACCTAACATCACGTTGTGTGAACACCTTACATCACGTTGTGTGAACACCTAACATCACTTTGTGTGAACACCTAACATCACGTTGTGTACATGGCATTGTTCTGGGAACACCTAACATCACGTTGTGTGAACACCTAACATCACGTTGTGTGAACACCTAACATCACGTTGTGTACATGGCATTGTTCTGGGAACACCTAACATCACGTGGTGTACATGGCATTGTTTTGGGAACACCTAACATCACTTTGTGTACATGGCATTGTTCTGGGAACACCTAACATCACGTTGTGTACATGGCATTGTTCTGGGAACACCTAACATCACGTTGTGTACATGGCATTGTTCTGGGAACACCTAACATCACGTGGTGTACATGGCATTGTTCTGGGAACACCTAACATCACGTTGTGTACATGGCATTGTTCTGGGAACACCTAACATCACGTGGTGTACATGGCATTGTTTTGGGAACACCTAACATCACATTGTGTGAACACCTAACATCACGTTGTGTGAACACCTAACATCACGTTGTGTGAACACCTTACATAATATTATGTGAACACCTTACATCACGTGGTGTACACAGCATTGTTCTGGGAACACCTAACATCACGTTGTGTGAACACCTAACATCACTTTGTGTGAACACCTAACGTCACATTGTGTGAACACCTAACATCACGTTGTGTGAACACCTAACATCACGTTGTGTGAACACCTTACATCACGTTGTGTGAACACCTAACGTCACATTGTGTGAACACCTAACATCACGTTGTGTGAACACCTTACATCACGTTGTGTGAACACCTAACATCACTTTGTGTGAACACCTAACATCACGTTGTGTACATGGCATTGTTCTGGGAACACCTAACATCACGTTGTGTGAACACCTAACATCACGTTGTGTGAACACCTAACATCACGTTGTGTACATGGCATTGTTCTGGGAACACCTAACATCACGTGGTGTACATGGCATTGTTTTGGGAACACCTAACATCACTTTGTGTACATGGCATTGTTCTGGGAACACCTAACATCACGTTGTGTACATGGCATTGTTCTGGGAACACCTAACATCACGTTGTGTACATGGCATTGTTCTGGGAACACCTAACATCACGTGGTGTACATGGCATTGTTCTGGGAACACCTAACATCACGTTGTGTACATGGCATTGTTCTGGGAACACCTAACATCACGTGGTGTACATGGCATTGTTTTGGGAACACCTAACATCACATTGTGTGAACACCTAACATCACGTTGTGTGAACACCTAACATCACGTTGTGTGAACACCTAACATCACGTTGTGTGAACACCTTACATCACGTTGTGTGAACACCTAACATCACTTTGTGTGAACACCTAACATCACGTGTGAACACCTACATCACATTGTGTGAACACCTAACATCACATGGTGTACATGACATTATTCTGGGAACACCTAACATCACGTTGTGTACATGGCATTGTTCTGGGAACACCTAACATCACGTGGTGTACACAGCATTGTTCTGGGAACACCTAACATCACATTGTGTGAACACCTAACATTACGTTGTGTACATGGCATTGTTCTGGGAACACCTAACATCACGTGGTGTACATGGCATTGTTCTGGGAACACCTAACATCATGTGGTGTACACGGCATTGTTCTGAGAACACCTAACATCACATTGTGTGAACACCTAACATCACGTTGTGTACATGGCATTGTTCTGGGAACACCTAACATCACGTGGTGTACATGGCATTGTTCTGGGAACACCTAACATCACGTTGTGTGAACACCTAACATCACGTTGTGTACATGGCATTGTTCTGGGAACACCTAACATCACGTTGTGTACACGGCATTGTTTCTTGGCTCGTCGTTAGGTTATAATGAAACTACCAAAGCATCCTGGGTAATACAAAGCCACCCGGTGATACATACTGCATAATTAGAGTCTCTTCTTTATTAATGACGCTGAGGTAAAGAGAAAACTGCCTTGTATTCACCAGGTACAACTTAGGTTTGCTTGTTGCTAAATGCTACACTCAGCTGCACTCAGCAATATAACAGCTATATTATGACAGTCTGTAAATCATCAAGCCTGAACCAGACAATCCAGTGATTGACATTGTGCACAGAAATCCACACCATCGGGTACGATGAAACGTTATCAACAAAATCACTGAGTCTGGCCCCCCAACCCATTTGGTCGCCTTCTATGACAAGCATGAGTTGAGAGTGAGGGAGGATGGTTTTACTCCGCTTTGAGCAATATTCCAGCAATATCACAGCGGAGAACACCAGAAATGGGCTTCACACATTCTACCCATGTCGGGAATTGAACGCGGGTCTTCGGCGTGAAGAGCGAACGCTTTAACCACTAGGCTACCCCACCGACCCCTGTTATGTCTGTGATATCCATGACACCATAATGATAGTAAAAAAAATTAAACTCTAACGTCGCATCGGCTTTATTTCAGCCATATAGCGACGCATAATGATGAAGAATAGGACTACAAGAGCAGCAATTCTGTTATCATATTTGTGATTTGTCTAAGGTCTGAAAATATAAGTATGGTTAAAAACGTTTAAAATATTAAAAATGGTATACATGATAAAAGACATTTGTGAATCAATATTCTGCAAATATCAAAACTTCAATCATATTTGTACAGCTGTACAGATGAAGCAGAGTATGAAACTCGACCAAAGATTGTAATTCTTGTTCCTGGAGGAAAATTAATCAGCAAATATGTATTATTAATCAGTCATTATGTATAACTTCCTTGATGTGGGAGTAAATAAATACCTTTTGGACGAGACTGGAAACCCATTACTTGTGCTTCCTTGTTCAATAAGCTCGACTTCAGCGACGAACGACTCAAATAATTCATCTAAATGCTTGTTCAAATTCTCGTGAAGTTCCCCTTTCAAACGCTGAAAAAATAATTCACGTCATGAATGTTTTGTGAAGAATAATTCACATGAAAAATATTTCATCTGAAAAGAGACACTCTTCTCTAGATCTTCAAAATGCTGACACAAAATTTTATCCAGTGTTCGAAATTACAGGGAAACTGGAACACTTTCTTCTTTGCTTTTAGAATCCATGGACCTCCAACTTTTGACATTAGGATTCGGACAAAGACCCTTTCACTTCTTTGCTTAATGTCAAACACTAAACACTCTAATCTAAATTTTCAACAAATACAAAAATTTTTTTGTGTATGCAAGTTTAATTTCAAACACTGAACTCTCTAATTCAAATCCTCAACAAATATGATTTTTTCCCCTTGTATTGCATGTATTAGAAAGGACATTCACTAAGAGAAACCCTTGCAACACCAAGGAATTTGATCAAACTAATTCTGCCCTTTTGTACATGGTTCATTCAAAACTTGAGAAACCAAATGTATTCAGCACTATTGTACAGGGTTCTTTCAAAACTTGAGGAACCAGACTTAGGAATATGTTAGAGCCAGAGGACCTGGTGTCTAATCATTGAAATTGCTAGTTAGATTCTAAGACGTGGAGCGGATCTCTAACCTATTTAACCATGGCCAACATTCAACATGTTCAAGGAACCTTTGCACCTAAAATATTTAAACAATAGTGTTTTGATGGGATTGTCGGTCTTTGCCAAGTGGTTACCAAACAATTCATTTTTTCAATGCCTAACCCTGTCTAATTGATATGCTTACAAAACAAGCTGACATTAAAAAATGAATTAAGATACAAACCACATATGTCTCCTCATCACAAACCACACGATACGACTTCATTTCGGCGAAAACAACCGACAAATATTACAGTTGGGACAGGACTTAAGAATAAACATGATTAAAATAAGTACTCTCTAAAATCTTAAAGATAACTTTATCAGCCACACTTAAAAACACATCTGTTAATCTTCTCTGTAAACATCACAGCCCTTCCATGTGTAGGGCATGTCAGATACAATCATATCTCACAGACGAGCATGTGACCCAGAAGGCCATCTTCCCGGGGCAAGAGAGTTAACTACCTAAAAGTCCAGTTTCCACATTTGCCAAACTGGCCTGGAATTTCTGAGCTTGATCGTAGCGCCACCAGTGGCCATTACGACTTATGACCCTTTTACGTCCCTTCTACTGACCAATCAGATTCCACCTCTCATATCACTTGCATTTGCTTCAAACAAAATGGTGGCCACCAGTCAAGACGATCTGATCGATAATAAAGATCTATATTGTAATAAGGCGGGTCTTGCCTCGTGAAATGTATCAAATCATGTGAGCACCTTGATTAAAAACATGAAAAGATTTGGAAAATATCTGTTGACAGAGAGCTGGCGATACACACGCTTTAAAAATCCAGCAATCGACCGAAATCTGCAGGGCAGTTTACAAACCGGATGTCTAGTTTGTTACGCGGTTTTAATTGACTATGCATAGACTGGTTAGTCCAGCCAAAACAAAAACTCCTAGTTCGGCAAGGGTGGAAACTGGACTTTTATAGTCAGTTAACTCCCTTGCCTTGGGAAGATGCCTGCTGGTAGACGGCTGTAGTTAGCCAGGGGCCAGTTCATAAATGGGGTAACCGTCGGCCCAGTCATCCGCGGTTTGCTGTGCAGAGTTGCGTCCCTTGGGCACGCCAGGAACCTATGATTGTGGGTTCGAATCCTGGTTCGCCCTGATTATGTTTCTAGGTTTGTCAGCACCATACCTGTGCTCGTGGGTTTCACCGAAGTGGTAAACATCTAAGACCTGCATCACTTTGGGCTTTCCTGCCACATTAAGCTGACACGCCGCGATATAACTGGAATACTGTTAAAAGCGTGTGAAACCCAACTCACTCACTCACTCAGTTCATAATAATGGGAATTTTGGTGGGTTGGTTACAAGGACAACTCACAGGATGTAATTAGTGTTTGAATGACATTGTTTATATACTCTTACAAGTGCTGCTCAATAAACAGTGGTGTGGAATACATAGTTGTTTGTTTTCAGCGTATGTCTAAGTTGGTATTTCTGCTATCCAAAATGTCTTATTGTTGTATAAATGCAATGTTTAATAATGCGAGCAATGACCACTCATTTCACCACACATTTCAAGGTTTATAGTATACAGCAACATGTATGCACGTGTGTGTGTGGCTGCTTGTACTAGTCCGGACTGATGCCGATTTTATAGAGCCAGCCCACTGAGATACCATGCCGCAGTTTAACATGAATACCCCACTCGGACACAGTGTACTGACTCCGAGCCAACCAGTCCTTGTTTTAGCCCCTTAATGCCAAGCGACAGGCATGGAAACAACAAGTTAACGTCTTTTGGTATGACACGGTGGGCATCGAACCTACGACCTTCCCCTTTCCGACGGACCCTCTACCGCTAAATCCTGGAGGGTGTCCGGTCAATAAAGAGGATCAAAAGACATACTGACTTAGTTTTACCCTATTGCATGGAATGCACTGTTAAAATACCCCCTAATTTATGAAAATATGAACTTTAACCCAAATCCCCCAAAATGATGAGTTTTAACAAGGTTGCAATGCCTGCCAAGGACACTTTGTTTAGAATCCTAGACACGTCCCTGGGTTAACATTAGCGTTATTAGAATCAAAGTAACAAAATAGCAGAGGCACAAGGGTCCGCAGGTCACCTGAATTATGAAACAATAATGTTACAATGCTGCAACCATATTATGGTGAGAAATTTAAATCGTGACTTAAATGAGTGAGTCAGTATGGTTTTTACGTCCCTTTTAGCAATATTCAAGCAAAATCATGGAGGGGGACACCAGAAATGGGCTTCACACATTGTACCCATGTGGGGAATTGAACCCAGATCTTCGGTGTGACTAGTAAACGCTTAAACCACAAGGCTACCACACCGCCCCTAAATATAGTGACTTAAATATGGTGACTTAAACAAATTTAGTCCACAGTGATACCAATATAAGTAAAAACAAAACCTTTGCAACACTTGATGTTCAGTCAGGTGAGGAGGTGAGGTGAGGTGAGATGAGATGAAATTGGGTTTAACGTCGCGTCCAAGATTATTGCACTTATATAGCGACGTGCATGTACGTGTTTGTATTTGTGTGGCTGCTTGTACTAGTCCGGACTGATGCCTATTTATAGTGCTAGCTCACTGAGATACCATGCTGCAGTTTAACATGAATACCCCACTCAGACACGGTATACAGACTCCGAGCCGACCAGTCTTTGTTTTAGCCCCTTAATGCCGAGCGCCAGACAGGGTAACAAGAAGTACCATCTTTTAAGGTCTTTTGGTCTGACATGGCCGGGGATCGAATCCCGGACCGCTCTCCCACTAGACCATGGAGGCGGTCAGTCAGGTGAGGAAGAAAAAGACATTAGAACGACGACAGTGACACAAAAATTGAGCAATTTGTTGCTCACCTGTGCCTGATCCCTGATTCTCTGGAGATTCACTTGGCGCTGAGCAGCAGTAGGGGTAGTTTCTGGAGAACAGAAAAAAAGAAGAAATAATTGTTACCATGGTTACTAAAGGTTATAATGTGCTGTTTGTGCCATGCTAACCACACATTAACGTGAACCTCGGCAAGATATAACACTGAGTCAATTATATATGTAGTTTCATATTAATTATTATGAAATCAGAAATGAAAGAATATTGATCAGTTCCAGTTTGTAAACAATCTGTCATTTCTCACTGGTCAAAATTAAAGAGGATCGAGGGACTGGAGTTTTCCTCGTGTTTAAACTTGTCCTACAGTGCTGACCGATGGTCAAGGTTCTCAGAGGTCCAGCAGAAACTACATACTGTTATCCTATACAAGGGAAATCTAGGTTGTTGTCACATTTACATGTGACAGATGTTAGTATAGACCTGTCTGTTGAGTCATCTTTCACAATATGTTGTAATTCAGTCTGGTGACTTGCTGTTAACTGATTCGAATCAAAAGTACCCTATTCCTTGAAATGAGCAAAACGGAAAATTAAAACAACTATCAAATCTTTTACTCTGTCGGCTAAATCACCATAGAATATCATTTGCAGATTTCAGTCGATTGCAGGATATGTAATGTGTGCCGTCAACTGGCTGTCAACAGATATTTTTCAAATTTTATCATGTTTTAATCAACATGCTTAAGTGATTTGGAGCACTTCGCGAGATAAATCTCGTTTTAATGTGATAAAGATCTTGATTATCGATCAGATTGTCTTTACTGGGCACTGCTATTTTGTCTGAAGCAAATGCAAGTGATATGAGAGGTGTAATCTGATTGGTCAATGGGAGGGACATAGAAGGGGCATAACTCGTAATAGCCACTGGAACAATACGATCGAGCTTGGAAATTCCAGCCTAGTTCGGCACGGGTGGAAACTGGACTTTTATAGTCAGTTAATCCCCTTGCCTCAGGAAGATGAGGAACAATTACGAATGGTGAATACTATTGAAAGGATTGCATGAACCTATCAGCGGGAACTATCGTGACAAACTCTGATGCTGTGTTCTCCTCCATCAGGACATCTCCATCTCCCCCCAGCCACGTTGCCATGGTTCCCGTATGAGGATGAGGATACAAGCTTATACCCCTCCACATTATTCCACATCTTGCCCCTAGTGACCACCACCTGTTTCCAAATTGGAAAAAAACCACTCACACATGCATGGTCGTTTGTTTATCAGGGACCAAGAATGGGTTGCAGCTGTGGAGGACTGGTTGACCACAATTTGACCTACACAACTGACCAGGAGAAGAGATGGTACAAGTGTTCAAAACTAAGGGGACTTTGTTGAAAAATTATTGTAGATTATTCAGCCGTCTAAGTTCGTTTTTTGCTAGGCAGCCAAACGGTTCCTGACATGAATATTTTAGGAGCCAAACCTCAGTTTATAGGAACCAACAGATATCTTAAAAATATATTGTCACCAGTTATGTTGACTTTTTGATAGCCAAGTGACGAGCAGTAGATAAATTTAGGTCACCAATCATAGATTTAAGTCGCATTTGGCCATCAAAATGGTCACTACTTAGAGGGCTGACTCATGATAGTTTTTTCAGTTCTGTGTATGCTAGGCTCAAACCTTCTGATACGACCTCGTATATACCACAAGAACCAGTAGCTACCTCTTTCCGCCATAGTATGTAGGCGACTTTGCTTGTCGTAAGAGGCGACTAACAGGATCGGGTGGTCAGGCTTTTTTTATGCATGTCATCGTATCCCAATTGCATGGATCGATGCTCATGACATCAATCACTGGATTGTCTGGTCCTGATTTGATTGTTTACAGACCGCTGTCGTATTGCTGAGTTAGGCATTAAACGACATACAAACAAACCTCATATACATGTATACCCGTGATATAATGTCAATGTTTTTTTAATTAGTAAGTTAAAATTGTTTTGCTTCATATGACGTATATTGCAATGTGCACTTTGAAGCAGCGACAGCTGTTAAATGTACCAGATTGCTTTTCTCGAATAACGATCTTCTGTACATAGTTACCACTGGAGAGTTATCATTATCTGTTTTGTACTTGACTACAGATGGCGCTCATTGATGGCGGCTTGTAAATAGTTGAGCATGGACCAGGCAGTGATTAATATAATGAGCACCAATCCACGCTGTCATCAAGACTGACACAGATAAGCTGCATATTTGCGTAAAATACCCATCAAAACTATTCAAAACCGGATTACTTTAAATTAACTTGCATACAGAAACGCATGCATTAAATGAAAAACTCAATTGTATGAAAACAGCATGCGTAAATATCCAATGAAGCTTTTTCAGCATGCGTACAACAGAGCTAATTTCCGAAACACATTTACGAGCTTACGAATTTACTTTCCGAGTCAAGACTATATTTAGAACCGTTATATACATTTAAGACATTATTTCATTATTTTAAAACTCAAAATGCTTACTCATTTTGGGAAAACCCCAATAGTCATGAATAGATGAGTGAAAAATATTGGTTACCCAATGAAAAATGTAATAACCCAATTAAAATAGAAACCTTCGAGTAAAAACTCAATTGCTCAAAAAGTTATCTGGAGCTCTGCTGCCACCCAATCCTGTTGCAACGAACAGGGTTGTTGGCCGCCTATCCTAACCCGGAATACTGTGTCCGGGAAACAGGAAGATGTGCCTTTGAATCATGGGAGTTGCCATGCATAACTTTTGTTTCCTAAAAGACTGAAGACTTTTCGTAAAGTAGTGGTTTCACTTATATTTCTTACATAATTGTAATAACCATGACGACCCTGTGACAGTGGTACTTGATATCGAACACTGATCATCAAACAGTTTGTGAAACAAAACATGAATCATAATTCATTATCATCTCTGAAAGGCAAGGGGTTCTTGTCACGACCCTAACGTCAAAAGTTAAATATGGAGAGTCGCTAGATTCAGGTAACCACGAGAACACCTCAAAGACCCAAGACCCCCTCTAGTTTCAAACACTGATTATCATGCATGCTCCTGTATACTGACCATGGTAACTGTATGTCATGATGTTTTTTTGTTCATGTTTAGGAAAGACATCTTTGAGACAACTATGGCAGTTGAACCATTACAGTTATTGCCTGCCGCACAGGTTTAAGTAATTAGCACATGTTTTTTGGCTGTTTAGTGAAGCTATATACAGTATGCTAGTAGCTGACTCCGGTCCAACAGTGCTTGTTTATCCCCTTAATGTTTAGCGCAGGGTAACAAGTACCATATTGTAACATCTTTTGGTATATCATGGCCAGGAAGAGAACCACTGACATTCCGCTCTCCTGGCAGATGCTCTATTCACTAGACCATGGATGCTGTCTGTCAGTTTTTAGCAGATCTCTATCCTGTTTCATGGCTTGGACATTTGGATGTTTTATATACAACCAACTCTGTGATTAACATGATTAATACTGCCATCATAACAGGACAAAGTCTAATTTTCTGTATTTATTCTGAGTCCAAAACACACCATTCATAGATACAAAATACCATCTATTGCACTAAGTAAGCTATGTTTACATCCTGGTTGGTTGGTTTGTTGTTTAACGCTGCACTCAACCATATTCCAGCTATATGACGGCGGTCTGTAAATAATCGAGTCTGGACCAGACAATCCAGTGATTAATATCATGAGCATCGATCCACGCAATTGGGATCGATGACATGTATCAAACAAGTCAGCGAGCCTGACCACCCGATCCCGTTAGTCGCCTTTTACGACAAGCATAGTCACCTTTTACGGCAATCATGGGTTGCTGAAGATCTATTCTACCCCTGATCTTCACAGGTCCAGGACTGTCATTCACAAACAAAGAATATAAAAATATGTTCTCAATGTGTTGTAAGCAATATCTTATAAGCAGCCAGCTGTTGGGCTTGAAAGACCAACTGATGAACATGACAACCGTGTAACATAGATCTACTGCTGTTAACTGCTGATAAAACCTTGCCTCTTGAACTCTATTGATTGTACATACAGTGGTCTATAAACGTTGAGTTCAATACGATTTATGAGTCATGACGCAATCTGCTAATCTACGTAGCATTCATCAATGTTATTATCATGGACGTAAAGTGTTATTTACGACCATCCTTTTCTGCAGTGCCGAGAGAGGTGACACTACATATGTGAACATAAACACTCACAAACAGCAACACATGTTCTTCCCACTTGCACGCGAGCGCTAACCATTGTGCCACGATTCGTGTGTTTACCTAAACATTCTGAGCCACCGGAGAATAATTTAAGTTCAAATCGTGCTTGATCATAGATATAAGAGGTATGTTAGTATTCTCGTCCCATTTCTGAAATCTTCTCCACTTGAAAAATTATCTTACCAGCGTTTTTAAGGTCTCCATTCGCTCCTGGGGGCTGCGAAGGTCCGTTCGACGCCATGTTTACAGAGCGGTGACGTCACACTTCCGGGTCATGGGATACCAAGGTTATAGACTGGCTTTTAATAAAGAGAGAAATTGGGGCAAGTTTAGCATTTCGGCTGGCAAAAATTACACCATATTTGAGAAATATTTAATAATTAAATTATGCAGTCGATGTTTGTTTGTATCTAAACTGATAAAAGACAGGACTCTAAATTTGTTCAGCAATCGAAAAAGAATTAGTCATTCACTTAAAAAAAATATATCGTGAAATTGTATTTACTATAACTAATATAAAAAAAGTCGTTCTTATGTTTCAATAAAATAATCAAATCTAATTTAAAATTGTAAAGAAAAACAAAATTTCTTGAACTGTTAAATATCACGATAATAATTTAAAGCTTCAGTTTGTGTAGAAAAGTATATTTAAACTATAAGTGCAATTATATTTTTGATGTAGTTTAATAAAGTTTGGCACTATTATATCAACTTACAAATGAGGTCACACTTGTTGACGATGACCTGCTTCTGGTTGCTGCGTTTCTGGCGTCACGTGATCAGTGGTCAACGAAAGGTCACTGTACGAATAGCCATGTTTTACTTCACTTCATATGCCGTTATATATACGCAGCTTGAAACACAATAACATTCTGCTGTGATAACATATCAGACTAATGGGTGGATGAGTGAGTGAGGATGGTTTAACGTAGCGTTTAGCAATATTCCAGCAATATGACGACAGAGGACACCAGAAAAGATCTTCACACATTGTACCCATGTGGGGAATCGAACTCAGGCTTCGGCGTGACGAACTAACACTTTACGTGAGTGAGTGGCCCGTCAGCATTGTGTAAATGCGATTTGTTTTTAATTTTAATCTGATTTAATCAATTCATTTAAAAAAAAGTTAAACCGCGTAAAGGTATTCTTTGAGAGCTGACTATGCGCCAGTACAGTTCATTTGGATATAATTTCATTATTTTCATTTGAAAATCAAACATATGATAAAAAGGTATAGTTTCTTTGGCTCCTCAGTTTATACTATTTCATAATTTTTATATTTGCTATTTTAGCAAACCCAGATTCGCTACAATGATCCAGCACGATCAAAAACTACAAATAGAAGACATTCTCTGTGATTTCCGATCAGATTTTAGTACTGGACTTTTCCACCGGTAATCATCAGCACAGGTAATCCACGCAAATAATAAAAATAGTGCCTGTTCGAATATTTTTTTTAAAGCTAATTTAAAAAGTTCTAATTGTAACGAGATATGAAATTTTCATCACTGAATCAACTAGCAATAACGTTGACTAGAAAAATTAATAATGTTTGATTATTTTTTTTAATTTAAAAAACAACAATAATACTTGTGCAAGTCTACGTTGAACGTAAAATATGTACTAAACAGTTTGCATTGATTCATAATAAAGTGACTGTGGCACTACACAGTGATCTATTACAACTACAGCACTACAACCTACTAGTGCAGAAATTCAGTAATTATAAATGCACAGGTTGTGGAGGAATTCCGATACAAAACACATGGTGCAGAAAGCTCTTAACAGCGCAGCTGACGTTTCCCAATCTGTTTACAACTCAATCAGGAAAACTATGAGTGGTCACATGCGGTGCCTGGAGCATGACCCAGCGTGGGTGCTTACGTGACGTAATGGTATATTTGAGGGCAAATTGGATCACATGACCTATTGTGCACTTTCACATACAGTCAAATGAGGTCAGAGTATATGTGACACGCAGTTGTATGAAGAGGGGTTGAGGTATTGATTGGTGGATAGATGGATCTGACTAGACGAGTGGCCAATCTAAGTCGTCAATATACACGCTGCAATTGTGAAATAAACATGATTTAGAGTGAAATACATAGACACGTCTAAAGGTGTGTCAAACATTGACGTGGATCAAATTGCAATAACTAACAACACAATAAATACACATATCTACGGTGGCCCATAAGGGACATGGAGTCTGTTTAGTTTTTGACATTTTCGCTTCACATTTCAGCGATTCAATAGCTACTTGAAAGTACATTTTCCATGTTTTCGGTTGTTTTTATACATGATTTATCACATATTTGTATGACAAATTTTGTTAATTTGCAAAAGGTTATGATAAAAGTAAGTGAAATATCAAAATATTGAAAAGCAGATTCCATGTCCCTTATGGGCCACCGTACATATCCGACTGGGATGTCTACACATCTCGAAAATATACACATTAAACTCGTTTTTTCACTGAATGTATTTTTTTCAAATTAGCACGCGTACATACAACCGTAGCGCAAGTGTCAAAACGTGTGGTGTCGACCTGGGCAAGTGACTTTGTTCAAATGTGCCTCTGTTCACCCAGCAGGGAATGGGTACCCGATGTGTGAGGTGATGGTAAAAACCCTCTAGCGCCTCTGGGCAGCTTGGTTGCATACTCCCCAGGGAGTTGGGAATGATAACTGGAATGCAAACGGATCCACTGGTCGGGGAACAAATTAGACCCCTTTTGCGCGGTTACTAGTACCTGGATACCTGCAGTATAATAATAATAATAATAATAATAATAATAATAATAATAATAATAATAATAATAATAATAATAATAATATTAATAATAATAACAACAACAACAACAACAACAAAAGCAATAATAATCATAATAATAAATAACTATACATGTTTGTTTGTTTGTTATTTGATGCCACACTCAGCAATATTCCAGCTATATGACGGCGGTCTGTACATAATCGAGTCTGGACCAGAAAATCCAGTGATTGATATCATGAGCATCGATCTACGCAATTGGGATACGATGACATGCATCAACCAAGTCAGCGAGCCTGACCACCCGATCCCTTTAGTCGTCTTTTACGACGAGCATAGTCGCCTTTTACGACAAGCATGGGTTTCTCAAGACCTATTCTACCCCGGATCTTCACGGGTCAAGTATACATATAATCTGTGGGAGAGGCCGATTTAAGCTGTGATGACCTGTACCCAATGCTTGTTTAATGTGAATAAAGTACGTATTAAACTAAATACTTAAAGATCTGAACAGATAAGACTGAACGAATAAGAACGTATGATGGAGCTAGATGTGAATCACGTGGATGACAATGCTTGAAATAGACAACGGAAGGAAATGACATCGAGTGGACTGTGATACATCGTGCAGTGTGTATGTTATTAACCTTTAGACCGTGCAATTCATGGAGAGATAAACATGCGTTGATCAGCTTCCTGTGTGACCCAGAATTGAAAGTGACATGCCTGTTTTTGAAAATTGAGTTCAATACATATGAATGTATTAATATGAATGTTTACTGATTTCCTTTCATGAATATATGCGCATTAAACATTAAACTAACCATGACATTTTAATGATTTACATCTTTCCCTGAATGTAATTTTCTCGGTATAGGGTACCCCCAAACAAACACACACATACCCCACCCCACCCCACTCCCACCCCACTCCCACCCGGAATCCCCACCTCCTCGCGTCTATCAATCCTCTTCTCCTGTTTCCTATTGTCTTCCCATGTTTGTATCTCATCTCATATTCCCCCAACCCCCATCGACCACCCCTAAAACAAAGAAGACATACCCGATACACCCGCATACACACTTATACACAGCTATAGACGGCCTTCTAGAGGTCTCGTGGATAGAGCGTCTGACCGAGGAGCGGACGGTCGTGGGTTCGATCCCCGGCCGCGTCTTAGCAAATGACGATAAATAATGATATGGTTTTATTGTTTCCCAGTATGAGGCCTTGCATTGTACATACGTAAAAACTTCTTCACGTGACGTTAAATCTCCGTATGTGTATACAACGCTACAACGTATAGCATCTAACTCCGTATGTGTATACAACGCTACAACGTATAGCATCTAACTCCGTGGATGTATACAACGGTACAACATATAGCATCTAACTCCGCATGTGTATACAACGCTACAACGTATAGCATATAACTCCGTATGTGTATACAACGCTACAACGTATAGCATCTAACTCCGTATGTGTATACAACGCTACAACGTATAGCATCTAACTCCGTGTGTGTATACAACGCTACAACGTATAGCATCTAACTCCGTGGATGTATACAACGCTACAACGTATAGCATCTAACTCCGTATGTGTGGACAACACTACAACGTATAACATCTAACTCCGTGTGTGTATACAACGCTACAACGTATAGCATCTAACTCCGTGTGTGTATACAACGCTACAACGTATAGCATCTAACTCCGTATGTGTAGACAACGCTACAACGTATAGCATCTAACTCCGTATGTGTAGACAACGCTACAACGTATAGCATCTAACTCCGCATGTGTATACAACGCTATAAAAACTTCTTCACGTGACGTTAAATCCCATTTCAACTCACCTCAGCCTTGCTATGAGACGTGCTCTCTAATATTTGTTTGTTTGTATGTGACTTCAGTATAGCTGATGACGCCATGAAACCCAATTCAAGCGCTGTAACAGTTTCACACTGTGGGTATATGGCTTCCTGAGACCATTCAGCAAATCAAGTATGTCACGGGAGTCGAAGAAATGTGTGACCTAGCGGCTTAAGTGCTCATGCTATCAATAACTGGCTTGTCTTAAACAGACTCGTTGACTTGGTTGATGCATGTCATCGTATTCCAATTGCGTGGCATGCTGGTATCCATCATCAATCAGGAATGGCCCATGAAGACCCTGGTAGAGAATACCGGTAGGTCTGCAGCAACCTATGCTTGTCGTAAGAGGCGACTATCAGCATCGGGCGGTCAGACTTGGTTGATGTATGGCATCGTATTCCAATTGCGTGGCATGCTGGTATCCATCATCAATCAGAAATGGCCCATGAAGATCCTGGTAGAGTATAGGTCTGCAGCAACCTATGCTTGTCGTAGGAGGCGACTTTCAGGATCGGGCGGTCAGACTTGGTTGAGGTATGTCATTGTATTCTAATTGTGTAGATCGATCTGCATAATGTCAATCACTGGATTATCTGGTCC